GGGCCACTTGCACCCCGCGTCACGCGCCCCCTCCGCGCGGCGCGGGCCGCGGAGGCAGCGCGCGCTGATTCGCAGGGCGGCGAGCCGGCCCGCGAGTCGCTGCGCTTCCCCCGGGCGGAAGACGGCGGATCGCGCGCGCGCAGGTGCAGTAGTGCTCGCACGGTCGCTCGACCTCGCACGGTCGCTCTGCTCGTAGATGCCGCTGCGTCATGCTTTCGCTTGGCTCTAGTGCCGCCGCCGCTACTACTGCCCTTTCGAGGTGCAAACGAAAGAAAAAATAACGGGCAATAAAAGGCTGCCGATAAGCTCCCCCACTCCTTGCACACTTGACTTTTTAACCTCGCCGCAACGACACTTTTTACTCTTGCTACTATATACATCAAGCGACGTCCGCCTTCTACAACCGCCCGGCCCCTTGTGCTTTTATCCACACCCTTCCGCAGTGCACGGTACAACCTCCGCTCTCCTATCCACGCCCGATTTCAGAAAGAATTCTCCGACTCCACGTCGAACATGCTCGAGAAGCACGTCCCAACATCCGTCGTTCCAAACGTCCCTCCCTCCGTCAAGTCATCCTCTATGAACATGTCGTCAAGCTCGGATCGAACCGTGTTCACTGGTGCAACGTAACCAAACCGATGCGCACTGGGTGACCGAACCAAGTGCGCCCGGTTCTGTCCCTTCCCAGTACCTCCCATCCCACTTCCGCTGCGTCTCAACACGGATGCCGACGTCGTTCCAAACGAACCAAATGACCGACCAAAACTGTTCCCGCCGGCTCGAGACCCTCGTCTTCGTGGCGGAGCACCCCCGAGATGTCCGCTTTCCATCCTCATGATCCCGTCCATGCTATTCTTGAAAAATTCCTCAAATTCTAACACCACCTCGTCTACTAGCACTTTTCGTACTGGGTCTGCCCCTGCCTTTTCACCCCCGTTCTCATTTCTATCCGGTACATACTCTTCAACCTCGCGTTGAATCGCCATCCAGTGTTGCACGCAACACCCCATGTGCAACAGCGCCGACAAGTACGGTTTCTTTTGCGCGAGACCAGTATCCTTCCACGCCTTGTCTCCACTATCTCGCCGCCAAGTGCTCATGATTTTTTCGATCAGTCGTGACTTAACAAGCCAGTGATGCGCATAACCACCTGTCCGGTGCTTCGTTACCAGAGCACTTTCTACTGCTCGGCTCACAATCTTTTGCATGATCGAGTTGTGAGGATTCATCAGCATCACCGTCATCGCGATTTCTCCAATTCGTGCCTTATTGAACGAGTCCACTAATCGTTCCGAGCACACAGACTGACATTCCACAAAAAACTCTAATATTCGAATGCGGATCTGCCCATGCCCGCGACCTGTCTCAACTGTGTCGATAAGCACCCCGACCAACGGTTGGAGAAGTGGGTCCAATTCTGCCTCCAATGCCCTAGTCTCAAGCATTTGTGGTTGCCCATAAACACTCGCCACACGTCGTTCCTTATCTTTGTCAAGACATTGCAGCAGATTGATCGTTAATTCTAATGCATACTTGAGAATGCTTGATTCTTCTCCGTGCGTTTCCATGAACAAATCAATTCCCGCTTGCAAGCAGCCCGCGATAGTGCTAGCACTATTTGCGTTTCCAAACACATTAAGATATCCGCACGCCCTACAATCCGGCTTTAGCCGCACTGCCCGTATAGATTTGAGAATGACCATTCCATACACATGCACGATGTTGAAAGCGATTTGCTCTGCCCTGTGCACTTGTCCGGAATCGACGGTTCCGTCATCGAGCGGCAAAGTTGCGGCGGTGTAGATGGTCTGGGCAGCTTCCACAAACGCATTGGCCAGATGATGCAACACAGCGCCGCCGGCAAGCACAGTCAGGGCCAACGTCATGGGGGCCTCGAAGGAAACTGTGCGTGGGTCCATGGAAGCAAGGTCGTCTACGCAGCGGTCTGGGATGAGGCAATTGAGGAGCTGCGGGACGGAGCCGATGTGGAGGAGATTTACCAGGGAGGGGATAAAAGTAGGGCGCTCTAGAAACACTTTGAGCAGAGCCTCGGGGCTTGTTTCCATGTAGGAAACGAGGATTTGTACCACATTACCCACAATAATGGGGTTGTCGCAAGCATAAGAAAATTTTGGATTTGGGTCAGTTTGTCCTTGCGGTGGGCAAGGTTGGGAAGGGCAAGGTTGGGAAGGGGAAAGGGAAGGGGAAGAGGAAGAGGAAGGGGAAGGGAGGGTGGGGCCTGTGTTGAGCACGACGCGGCCGTCGAGGAATGACAATAAGTGGGAGACCAAGTCTGTGGAAGACAAAAAAGCATCGCGGATGCCCATGGATCCGTTTGCGAGGATATTAGCGATGAGATAGGGGTAGCGGTACGACTTGCGCACGTCGGCAACGATCGGGCTAGACGATGCCGAGACGTCGCTCAACAAAACCATGAGCAGAGTGAGACATTTCGGATGCGAGAGGGCATCAAATAGGGAATTGGTGACGCGTAGCGAGAGCTGCTCCACAAGCGCGTCGAGATGGTCCAGCAAGCGTCGGATGCGTGCGACCAAAACCACGGGCGTTGCGTCATCAATGGGCGACTCCTTGTCGAGGAATTCGTCGAGCACGGCGACAAACTGGCTCTTAGTGACGGCCGAAGCCGGCGGCGAGGGCTCAGGGTCTGCGAGATGCGGGAAATGGTAGAAGTGGTTGCGCGGCGGCTGCGGCTGCTCGCGCGGAAGCAGGGGGCCGTGGGCGGCATGGCGGTGGTCCGACGATGGTGTGGGACGGGGTTTCGGGTCGCGGCGGGCAATGGCGGGATCGTTGTGCGCGGGGTCTGCCGCGCCCGCGGGGGGCGTGGCGTGCGAGGGGGCCACGGGCTGATTGAGGACGTGTGCCACGGAGGTGGGGCTGGGGAAGCAGAGCGGGATGGAGGAGATGGAGGAGGGCGGGGTGGGCTTCGGGGTGGTGGTGGCGTCGTACTCGAAGCGGTCGAGACGCGGG